CTAGGCCATCTGACAAGACAGACCTCCCATGGCGGTAAGAGTAACTAAAACCAACACAAAACTGATGGTTGTTAGCCATTAGCAGATATGGTAGGCAGAACTGTAAGAGTGTCCTCAAGATTCTGGGTCCTTCCTAAGCACACTCCTCCTGCCAGTTATTTAATTAAACACTAATCTACTAGTAGGTGTTCACTTGAAGAGCTTTAACAGATGTAATTAAGGTCTCAAATCAGGAGATTATCCAGGTAGGTCTGACCTATCAGTTTCCTCCAGCTGGCCTCAGCATAGGCACTCAGAGAGATGCAATCTGCCTGGCCTGGAAGAAAGCCATGCTGTGAACATCCTATGGAGGGAGCCACGTGGCAAGGAACATGTTGGTGGTCTCTGGATGTTGAGGGCAATCCTCAGCTGGCAGCTAGCAGGCACACAGGACCAGAGTACTGCAACAGCAAGCAACTGAATTCTGCCAACAACCAGTTATCTTAAAGGAAGACCCCTATACCACAGATGAGGACTGTAGCCTTAGCCAACACCTTAATTTCAGCCGTGAGCAGAGAATGCAGGCACGCTGTGCCTGGACTTCTGACCTACAGGAACTATGAGATAACTTTGTGTTGCTTTAAACCACTAAACTTGTGATAGTCTGTTGTGCAGCAGTAGAAAACTAATATAGCAAGAAAGAAAAGAAAACAACAACAATGTACTCAGCTATCAAATCCTCAGTCAGATGGTTTTGTTCAAAGCCCAGGCAGCTTCCCCTCCATCCTGCCACATTATAAAGATTTTGTCACTGATGATGTTATTACAAAATAATCAACAGAAAAAAAATCTTATTTGCCACACTGGGCTAGTCCCCCTGGGAAGGTGTTCTGTACTCACCATCTTCACTGGAAAAGGGCAAAGCTGATCCACCTGTCCAAGAGGCAGCAAGTTTGGGGCCTCCCAGGCTGGTTCATATCGTTAGAGCAAGGGCTGAGTAGTGTCCATCCTGAGGCTGGCACAGCCTTCTGACATCATGCCGAGATATATGACCTACAGACTCGGCTCCACCTCCACCTCCAAGACCTTCTGGGAAAATTAGGCAGGGGGTTTTAGGACCCAGGGACCAGAGCTCTGAGGTTTACTGAATAAAATAAAAGGCAGAGCAGGTAATGAGTAAGAGCTCCTGCTCCTGCATTAAACTCTGGCTTCACCGCCTACTGTGTGACTTTTGCAAATTCCTTAGCCCTTCTTCATCTCCATCTGTAAAATGGGGATGACGGAGTTGTGAAGGTTTCAGGTGAGGCTTGTAAATCACTGATACATGGGGCCTTCTGTTAACAAGCCTTCTAAAACGGGAGCTGGCCGAAACCGGTTTGGCTCAGTGGATAGAGTGCCGGCCTGCGGACTAAAAGATCCCAGGTTCGATTCAGGTCAAGGACATGTACCTTGGTTGTGGGCACATCGCCAGTAGGGGGTGTGCAAGAGGCAGTTGATCGATGTTTCTAGCTTTCTATCCCTCTCTCTTTCTCTCTGTAAAAACTCAATAAAATATATTTTAAAAAATAAAATAAAATGGGAGCTGTTTAGTTGCTCTTGATGCTGACTGGGTCTTATACTCAATTCCCAAATGCTGGGCTTTCATCATATAATGATGAAATGCCCAACTCCATGCCCCAGAATAGACAGCTGAGAATATTTTGGTCCCTTGTTTCTGAGCCTGGAGTGTCTGCCTAATGACTAGCCACTCCAGCCTAGTATATGGAGTATCAGACCATGTCAGTCAGCCCCAATATAAACCCAGAATAAGTCAATTGTCCTTCCCTGGCCTCTTCTTGCTTTCTCCCTTCATTATAAAATAAATTGTGCTATCAGCGTGTACACAAAGCTCAGCCCTTCTACTGGATAAAGCCAAGGAAATAATAGTAAACTGACTGAGCTACAATAATTATGGGTTGTTTTTTCTCTAAAAACAAAGTAGTTATTTTTAAAAGACGGTTTCACAAGGCTAAATATTTACATTCCTCATTCATTAAGGTGGCGAGGATCTATTAAAGTCACTGAACCAGCTTCAATGATAGAATTTATGAAGTTGTGCCAGACTGTGCTAACACATTCAAAGGTATATTCCATTTACAAATATAACCACAGCTAGACTCCTAAACGCAGACCTTCTATGTTAATAGAACCTTCTTTCTGAGCATTGCTAAGTGAGGTAATTTGAAATTTTCCTAAACTCTAAGAAGGGAAGTGCTGGTAATACTTTCCCCATTTGCAGATATGACCATCTATTATGTGGATTTGCAAATTGGTTAATTGGAAGATTTAAGAAGAAAAATGCTGTTGTAATTCTGTGCAGTCCTGGGTTAAATTCAGAGGATTTAGCCAAGGGAAGATTAACATACGCAAGAGTCTGTAAAATACAATTTAGATAGGAAAATAGGCTATTTTTAAAAATCGTTTTTAGAAAATAATACTATAGCAAAATGTCTACAGCCTCCTTTTCCTTAGCAAATGACTCCCCTGACCAGAGTATAAGATCCAAAAAGTCAGTATCTTTGCCTGTGTTGTTCACTATGGACACCCTGGTGTCTAGAATAATGTTTATCACAGATACAGGCACTCACTCAATATTTCTGGAGTAAATGGATTAATGAAATGAAATTAATTAGCAAATGGCAGGATGCTGTCTAAATTCTGAGCTGTTATAAATTAAAACATGATCAGATCAAGAAGAAAAAAAAAAGCAGCAGCAGGTAGGTGAGATTCTATAAAGCCACATTTAAATTTTTGGGTACATTGGAAAAGAAGGAAACCCAGTATCAATGGCATTTATTATTACAAAGTTTTCATTCCTGGATGGAAATTTCCAGAGCCTATGTTGTAAACCATCTCACAATGGGTTATTTATGAGGAGCAAGCCTTTTGCTTGTGTCTATGTGGCAACAGCGCCATCTGTTGGATTACTAGTTGGACATTGTAAAACAACATTTGAAGTATTTGTTTTTCCTGTAGCAAATTGAATTTAGAATTACAGAAAATTATATCGAAACTATCATTAGAGGTCATCTAGGCCATATGTAATCTTCCAGGTAAATATTATCCTTAAGTAGGTACGATATTTTCTTTATTCATAGTGATGAAATGGAATTCCAAATTCATCTCTCAGAGAGTAGTCTGAAACTACTTTAGTAATTCATTACTAAATTATATCACAAGTCTCATGTAAATTAGAAACTTAAAGGCAGCTAAGTTTTTTGAGCATCTGAAGAGCAGTGTCCAAAAGAAATTTCTCAAAAAAAACTTCTGCAACAATAGAGCGAAAGAAGTTTCTGCAATGACATATATCAGTGCTGTCTAATATAATAGCCACTAGACATGTATAGTTATTACACATATGAAATATGGCTAATGACACTGAGGAAATGAACTTTAATTTTATCTAATTTTAATTTACACTTTAAAAACATTTTTATTGATTTTAGAGAGAGAGGGAGAGAAAGCGAGATCCTATCTAATAAATAGGGAATATGCTAATTGACCATCATGCCTTCACAAAGATGGTGACACCCACAGCCAATAAGAAGGGAATATGCTAATTGAATGCTATGCCCTCAAAGATGGTGGCACCCACAGACACAAGACGGCAGTACCCAGTCCTCTCACCTCCCCTAGTGCAGCAGTCACAGCACGGCCAGGCCCACCCACCCTCAGGTGGGCCTGGCTGTACCATGTGCCTGCCTCCGGGGTCCTCCAGTCCCCTCAGCACTCCAGCTGCCCAGGACTGTCCCAAGGTGCAGGCAAGCCTTGGATGTTGGCTTCCCAGACACCCAGGGCCACCTGAGGCTCAGGTAACCAGGGCCACACAAGGCTTGCACTGCAGGCAGTGGCAGGAGCAGAGGTGTGACGTGGGTGTTGCCTTCCCCTGACCGCAGGGTCTCCTCCCTTCCCTGAAGGCTCCTGGACTGTGAGAGGTGGAAGGCTGGGCTGAGGGACGCCCCCCTCCAGTGCATGAATTTCATGCACTGGGCCTCTAGTAGAAACATAAATGATGAGAATCATCAATTGGCTGCCTCCTGCATGCCCCCTACTGAGGATAGAGCACACAACCTGGGCCTGTGACAGTGACTTCTTGTTTCATAGGTTGATCATCAACCCCTGAGCCACACCAGCCAGAATACAGTTTTAAAAATAGTCACATATAGCTACTGGAGGGTTTCTCAACCTTTGCTGTGGGTTTTGTCCTGTGTACTGTGGGGTGTTTAGCAGTATCCAGGGCCTCTATCCACTAGATGCCAACCAATAGCACATACCTTCCATTCTCCCCCGGTTTTGACAACCAAAAAGCCTCCAGACATTGTCAAGTGTCCCAAAGGGTGCAAAGTCATCCCAGTTGAGAACTACTGGCTAGTAGCTACTGTATTGGACAGTACAGTGTAGAATATGCCTCATATGTAGATACTATTTGGGTTGAGAAAAAAAAATGGTCCCTATACTATACTATGACAATTGTGATTTTTGTCATAAGAGCAGGGAAGGTTAAAAAAAATGAGATGTATCAAAGAAATGTTCTTTCTTCTTTATCTGCCTTCCCATGTAACAGAGATGGAATCAGAATAGTAACACTGGAAAATTCTGCCTCACTCCAAAGTCCAGGTTAGCATCAGCAAAACTGTGCTCAAACCTGGCTCTCCTGTCCCTGCTGTGGGTAACTGGACACACTGACCTTGCAGATCTGTGTCTCACCTGGAGGAGCAAGGCTAGAACCTAGGGTTGCCACGAAGGCTAAATTATACAATGTATCATGTGTTCCTGGCTCACTGTTTGGCACGTAGCAGATATTTTTTAAAAAATAGTTGTTCTTTTAGCCACCCTCTTTCAGGTAGGAGGGAAAAAAATCTTCATGTCTTGGAACCAATAATACAAAAGTACCCAGTGTGTTTCCATTGAAAACAAAGAAGCCAACTTTATTTAGGAATTCCTGTGGCTGCAGCACAGGGATCACGCTTGCCTTGACACACTTAAAGGTGCAGGAGAAAATTTTTCAGTTCATCTGGAAGGAGGAGTCCATTGATCTTATGATGCTGCTGGATCCCAAAACACTTCCGGACTCGGAGGCGGCATAACTGCATCAAAGAAGGGGGCTCTGTAGAGAGATCATAAGACAAGCCAGCATTGGTTTCAGTGACCCAAGATGACTTTTCCCTTTGTTCTTTTAAAGCATACAAAACACAGGGTGGAGCAAAAGTTAGATTTACAATTGTGAGTATGCAAAAAACAGTTCATCCTTGTATTATTATTTATTTACCACTGGCCTGATGCACAAAATTCATGCACATTAAAAGGGAATGAGAGAAAATATTTAATATTGCTATTTGCCCTTTATAATAGAAGTGTCAAATATGAAAGAAAATTAGTAAAATGTACCATATTTTCCGGCGTATAAGACGACCCCCTAATTTTACAGTTAAAACATAGGTTAAGGCCTGTATTTGCTGTATAAGACTACCCCCCACTTCGTTCTTTTTTTCATAGACCACCTCCCTGACTCTGGCCAATCTGAGCAGGCTTTTTACACAGTGTAGCTTCAGGTACAGAACATGTATAATTTGCATGCATAAAAAGCCTGCTTGGATTGGCTGAGTTACAGAAGTGGTTTATTAAAAAAAGAACTGGTGTTGCCTCGGAAGTGGGGGGTAGTCTTATACAGCGAACATAGGCCTAAACCTATGTTTTAACTGTAAAATTAGAGGGTCGTCTTATACGCCAGAAAATACAGTATATGAAAATCTTTCTCCTGTCAAATTCTTGAGTATGCCACGTGACCCTCTCACCCATTCACTCTTCAAAATCGCGTGAGTCCTAGACCCGGCCAACCCCACCCCAATTGGACTAGATCCAGACCTGGCCAGCCCACCCCTGTCAACCCCTATCAGGCGGGTGTGCAGCCTCAGGTCCCCTGATCTGGCACCAGGCAGGGCACAGCCTCAGATCCCATCAAGCCCCACCAAGTGGGGGGAACAGCCTTAGCACCCCTGTCAAACCCCACCAGGAGGAGGGTGCAGCCTCAGGTCCCCCGGTGCATGCCAGGCAGGTGGCATAGCTTCAGGTCCCCTGGCCCAGCACCAGGCGCGGCCTGAGGTCCCACAGCCTGGGGTGCAGAGTGTGGCTTGAGGTCCCCTGGCCTGGCACTGGGACAGAGGGCACACCTTGAGGTTCCCCTGTCAAGTCCCACCAGTTTGGGGGGTGCAGCCTCAGGTCCCTGCTGATCAATAGTTATGGGAACCCTGCCTCTGCTGTGGGCGCAGCCATCTTGTGTTACAGGAACCCTGCCTCTACTGTGGGCCCAGCCATCTTGTGATGGTGTGAGGATTAATTTGCATATTTTATTATATAAGATTGTTTTATTATTTTCCATATTAACAACTGTTAATCTACTTTTGCCCCACCCTGTACAACATTTTTATAAGGAAATAATATGGTACTGTTTAAGACCATTTTCTGTTTCTTATAAGAGGCATTTTAGGCCATGTTCTCCCGTTTCTGATATAATTGAAATTAGTTAGGTTTTAATTTAGTACTGTCTTAAAACAATTCAAAGCTTAGTCTCACTAATGTTGGCTTAAAGAAGCTAATTTTGGAATTATAATGCTACAAAGAATTCCCAGTAATGAGAATAAAATTTGTGTTAATGGCTTTCTTATCTTTAACCTTTAAAAATAAGATAATATTTCTAGATGCAAAAATGTTTGTAATTTGAGCAATTTTAAGATATTCTAACATAATGAATAAATCATAAGTATATGTTCTCTTAAGTCATACTTGTTTGTATATTCTGCATTCAGAGCCAGCCTAGTGCTTGAATTCATAGGTGAAAAGTGAACTAGCACAAACTTTGCATAGGGAACCAGCCAAGAGTTGACATTTTATGGTAGCGGTACTCAACAAGGGGTTAGGTCAGTGGTTGGCAAACTCATTAGTCAACAGAAGGTGGGGTGGGAAGTGTTATAGGTTAAAAAGGTGGGAAATTACTTCCCACCCCACCCCCTGTACTAAATTGTAATGGGGATTTTCTTTTGGTCATTAAAAAACATTTTTATAAAGCAAAGCTATGTACCTTCAAGAACCCCAATCCAGACTGCACTTGAGAATCACCTATTGGGGGAGAACGGCTTTCAATTACATGTTTGGCCCCACCCCAAAGATGTTGCTTCAATGACTGTTGGGTGGGGATCATGCATGCATCTGAACTTATTAAAGGCAGGGGCCCAGGTCATTTGATTGTGCTGTCAATGTTGAGAATAGAACCAAAAACTACAGTGGCTTCTGGTCACCACAAGCTGCAGGATAAAGTGAGCTGCATATTTCTCAGGTGATGAAGAACAAAGAGAGGTGGAAAGGACACATATACAATTAAAAAATAAGTGCAATATTTTCAATCAAGCCCCCACAGAACATTCAGAAGCCCCTGTTTAAATTTAGGGTACCTTCCAGATTATGTTCAGTGTACTCAAGGCATATTAGTACACTGTATCATGGGGAAAAAACTTATCTTACTAAAGAACATTGAGGGACGTGACTAATCATCTGTGCTAGATGCACTGTTAGGGACAAGTGTAGGAGGTACTCATAAAGAATTATGAAAAGCAAGCCTGATGGAGACTTAGGAAAAGCAGGATGACCAAGCAAGGTCAACGTAACTACTGATGCAAACAGGGTATCTGTTGTTTCCCACAAGTTGGATGATCTATAGCAGCTGTAGCCTTCATTCTGTTCTGCAGCCATGTGCTACACTCAATAATAAGATCATCTCATTCTATATTGATAAATTGGAATATTTCTCTGAGTCTCAGTTTCTTTTTCTTCTCCAGCAACCCTCATGGTGCTTTAAGGCCAAAGCAAATTCCAAAGTGGCTCCTGTCAGGCTGGGCCTAGAGAGAGTGATTTTAATTTTCATTGTTTTCCATGAGTAAACACTGCTTTAAATACTTTTACAGTTGGGTGGGATGGTAATATTCTTCAACTCCTTTCTGGCACCACCCAGAGATAGAAACTGCCGTGTTAAATTCCCAGGTCTGGCCCTGACCAGTTTTTCTCAGTGGGCAGAGCATTGGCCCACAGACCAAAGAGTTGCCAGTTCAATTCCCGGTCACTTGCACAAACCTTGGTTACAGGCTCCAGCCCAGATCTGGGTGATAACAGGAGGCAACCAATCGATGTGTCTCTTTCTCATATAGATGTTTCTCTCTCACACATCGATGTTCCCCTTTCTCTCTCCCTCCTCCCTCCCTTCCATTCTCTATAAAGAAAATTCAATAGAAAAAGATATCCTCAGGTGAGGATTAAAAAAAAATTCACAAGTCTGGCTTTCTGTACTTGCCTGTCCCTATTTCTCATGGGCTTCCAGCCTGCTGCTGAGAGGTAGAAAGATCATGGAGGCAAAAAAAAAGGGTGATTCTCTCTAATGGTAACTAACATCGTATGAACCACTGGGATCATTAGCCTCACACTCTCACCAAAATGTGAACTAACAAAATTAAAGGCAACATAGGTGTCTAGGAATGGTTTTGGGAAATAAAGTGGAAGGGAAAGTCCCACAATCCCTAAAATTTAATGTCCACACTCTGGTAAAATAAAATAGGTCCTAAGCTAGCTGCTCTTCTCCCTTAGGGACAATCTTACCTAATAATAGACAAACATGTAAATTTACCATACCTCTGCCACACCCATAGCCAATCTGGAGTGAGTATGCAAATTAACCCAACAAAGATGGCAGGTTAATTTGCATATGCAGGTGTAGAGCAGCTGTAAGGGGCGGGTCGTCTGCTATGATGGGGAGGCAGGGTGGTGGAGGGAGCTACAAGAGCATTGCTCTGGCCAGGAGGGAGGATTTGTAGGCTCCCGGTGGCCAGGAGCAAAGCCAATATCATGCAATGGGCCTATAGTCCTAATAATAAAAGCCCAGGGTTGTAACTTGTAAGGACCAATCAAGACCAAAGGCTGACCAACTGGAAGTCAGTGTTGGGTTGCTGTGGTGACCTGTACAGCCACTGCCACATGCTGTGGGCTCGACTGGCCAGCTCCCTCCAGCCCATAGGAGACTGGTAAGCTGCAGCTGGTGGAAAGCAATGAGCCCAGGCCAAGTCACCCTGCAATCACGGGGAAAACAGGCCAGACCAAGCCACCCATGATCACAGTATGAAGAGCCCAGGCCAAGCATCCCCACAATCACAGGGTTAACAGGCCAGGCAGAGCTTCTCTGAGATCCCAAGGCAAAGAGCCCAGACTGAGCCTCCCTGTGATCCTGGGGCGAACAGGCCAGGCCTAGCCATCCCACGATCATGGGGCGAACAGACCAGGCCAAGCCTGGCCAAGCTTCCCCACAAGCTCAGGCAAAGAATCTGTTCAGCTGACCAACCTGCACTAGGGACATATTCTGGCACGTGGCATGGAGTCTGGGGCCTCTAGCCTGAAGCCACGGAAAGTCTCCCTCTCCCCAGAGTTAGGAACACCAGCCCAGGTCTACCCAGAGACCTAATCCTGACTGCAGGGGTGAGTTCCTGCAGGTTGGGGTTTGATCTCCATGCATTAGCAGTAAGAGACCAGTGCTTTTGTTATTGCTGTGTGTCCAGATTTTAATTGGACAATTGCCTGGCATCTGGGGGTGCCAGTTTAGCAAAATCTTTTAGGAGGAGAATTCTGGGTTTCCTCAAATTCTCTCAGCCCCTACTCACCCCACTGTAAAGGTGCAGAACAAGTGAGGCCCTTAAATAAAAATCATAGGTCTCCAGCAATGGTGGGCCTCTCTCATCACTGTCATTTGGACTGGATGGCATTTGAGTATTTATCTAGGCACCGTGACAGAGAAACGCAAGCTCAAGTCATGATCTCTGCCCTTAAAACATTCACAATCTTAATATTAGAGCGAGTGAATGATAAAAGTGCAGTGATCACATCAAAATGTAAGGCAACAATACAGAGAGGAACAGAGGCAATTGCTAGGATGATTTTCCAATAATTAGTACAGAGTATGTGCTATGAATTAAATAAAAAATAGGCATGGAAGTAGCTGCTTCAAGAGTATGGCGTCCCTTCCTATTTTAAAGGAAGCTGAGTTCCATGTGAACTGTGTACTACGCTATGATATCTGAGGCACAGGACAAGGGAGGCCCTAAGTGTACTATGCTTTGATATTTGAGTCATTCTTTATTGTTCAATGTGATTTATTTCTGTATGCCTCGGTTTTTTGATAGTTAAATTACTAGAATACATCTTGCTATAAAATATTACTAGAAGATCAAATGATCAGGTGATATTTGTTATTTTCTATAAATGAACACAATCTCTGGTATGCTAAAGTGGATAGGCATTATAGAAATATTCAGATAAGGAGACCTACAGGCTTGATTACAAGTGAGGCTTACTATCACAACCCAAATTTATTGCTTAAAAAAAAGCAGGGAGGCAACTAAAAATTGAACCAAATATAAGCCCTTGAAGGGCAAATGTAAATTGGATAAGCTTTGCCATTACAAGAACAAGAAGAAAAAAATCAGATACAAGAATGAAAACCATATTGCATTCACTCTAAGTAGCTGTTAAAGAAAAAGAATGATATACTATGAAAATAATAAAGATTGTAAAGACATTTATTCAAAGAGGATTTCCTGGAGTAGGTGATATTTCAGTTATTTTTTTAAATGTGAAGAATTTAGTTTGATAAGAAAAAGGTGTAGGGTCCTGAATTGCAGAGGGTGCAGGCAGGGCTGAGGGACCCCCACTCTGTGCATGAATTTCATGCACTGGGCCTCTAGTCCTATATAATAAAGGTGTAATATGCAAATAGACTGAACAGCAGAACAACCAATCAAAGCATAATACACTAACGATATGCTAAGGCTGCTCAACTGCTCGCTATGATGTGCACTGAGCACCAGGGGGCAGATGCTCTGACCGGTAGGTTAGCTTGCTGCTGGAGTCCAGCCAATTGGGACTGAGTGAGATGGGCTGGACATGCCATAGAGTCCTCCCTTGATCCCTCCCCAGCCTGATTGTGCACCAGTGAGGTACCTCAGTCTGGCCTGTGCCCTCTTGCAATCTGGGACCACTCAAGGGATGTCTGAGAGCTGGTTTCAGCACAATCTCACAGGCCACTCCCCTTGGGAGGGTGCCAGACGCAGAGCTCATGGCTGGTGAGTGCTGCTATGGCAGCACGAGCCTCTCCCAATAGGGACCAATTGGGCGCAAGTCTACGGCAGGCACAGTGGGGCCAGGCTGAGCGGGAGTGGCAGGAAGGAGCTGCAGGCGGCACTGGACTGCAGGTTTCGGCCTGATCCCTGCAGACCACCCAGAAGGACCCCACTCATGCACGAATTCATGCACTGGTACTCTAGTTAAGAATAAAACTGGGCCTGACTGGTGTCACTCAGTGGTTGATCATTGACCTATGAACCGAAAGATCACTGGTTTGATTCCCAGCCAGGGCATGTGCCTGGGTTGTGGGCTTGATTCCCAGTAGAGGACGTATAGGAGGCAGCCAACTGATGATGTTTCTCTCTCATGGACATTTCTATCTCTCTATCCCTCACCCTTAAATCAATAAAAATGTATTTCAAAAATGAATGAAATCAGAGGGTCTTTGCTCCCCACCCTGACTTGCAGCCCAGGATATTGTCCTTAACCCCTTGCATACTGCTCAACTACAGGTTTAGTTGTTAGGATCGGGTGTGTCATTTCTTATTTATGGAGGACTGTGGACTTGGTGTTGATTAAGTTATACTAATATATGCTTCCAGATTGCTATGAGCCATAAAGTAATACCTTATAATGCTCAAGTAATTGCATTCTTACCCCCAAAAAAACAAATGACCAGTAGTTTGTTATCTGTAGTGCAGTAAGACATCCTGGGGTGCTGTAAAATACCAAAGAGGCTTCTGCTCATTCTAAAGCATGTTTTGGATAAAGTTAATATTTTAAAATTTTAGTCCTGGCAGGCTAGTTCAGTTGGTTAAGAGAATCATCCCCAATATGCCAAGGTTGTGGGCTTAATCCTTGGTCAGGGCACATACAAGAGTCAACCAATGAATGCATAAATAAGTGGAACAACAAATAATGTTTCTCTCTCATCAATAAAGGAATAAAAATTAAAAATTGTAAAACATTATCTTCATCCTTTGGAAACTGGCCTATTACACAAATGAATATTAGATCATCCAAACAAGCCTGTCTCCCACATGCCAAACAACAGATGGTTATTTACTACATCACTAGTGCTGTGTGTACCTTGTGGAATACTAAATTACCTCAGTTCTCACATTTGGTAATGGCTAGGTATTATCTTTTTTGTAGAGTCACAAGTCAGAACTCAGTCAGTACCTGCCTCCTGCACATAAGACTCTATGGATTAGTGCTTAGATTCAGGCAAAGGATAAGCACCTTTTCTCTGTAAGAAGAGATGAAACAGAGGGTCATCAGGAGACAATAAATCCAAGGGACGTTTGCCTTCAGCATTCTTGGCCTGGGTGTCTGCTCCGAAGTCCATGAGAAGGTTGGCCAGCTCCCCACTGCTCGCCCTAGCCACTGCATGAAGAGGGGCCTCCAGGTCTCGGCCTCGGTTCACATTTGCTCCTAAAGAGTCACAACAAGACAGTGTCAGCCAAGGAGGAGAGTTCAAGCATCCCCCTACTCAGAGGACTATGCCTCCAAATTCCCTAACCAAAGGGCATCCATATTGGGCATGGCGATTCTCCTGAGAAAATGGAACATGACTTGATTCCATTTAATAACATGGGGAACATGCCATTTGACCACGTCACTGACTGTACAACATGAGCTTTGTAGTATATAGTGTTTAAAATATCACCTGTGAGCACTTTCCATAGGTGTGGATATATACAAGAAAAATCCTGGTGGCCTAAGCTGCACATTATTAATGCAGCCCTAATGTTAACCGGTACAGACCAGAAGTGAGGCTACATGGCAAAATCCCATCTATATCAAGCAGCCATATTCACGTGCTGAGCAAATGCCATGGGGGTCTAAAAACTGGGATTTGGAATTCTGTGTTTGGGTCTGTGAAGAGCATCCAACTTTTGAGGGTATCTCTTAGATCAGGGTGGCCAATCCCAAGATCACAGGGAAAGTGGCAAAGTCTTCCTCTTCAGGATTCTAGGATTCGGGTGGGATTCTAGGATCATCCCAACCTAATTATACCCCTACACTCTCAATAAATCCCTACCCCAGCTTGGATGCTGGATCACACTGTGAAATGTGGGGACATGTGCCTTTGCTTAAGCTGCAGTCCCTCTAGTAAAATGGGAATCTATGTCCACTAAACAAATGTTAACTGTGTTGTGCTCAGTTTTGTGGGGGATGCCAAACTTGACCTTGTCCTTACCAGGAGCTTAAAATCTACCAAGGGCAAAAGGAGAGAGAAAGAGAGGGAGAGGAAGAGGAAATGATAGAGAGCAGGATGGAGGGAGAGACTGAGAGAGTAAATATGAATGAATAAACATGACTCTCCGAATCCATGGAAATGACTATCAGATGAGCAGAGGGCAATAAGAACTATAAAAACTTTCAGGGGAGGAAAAATTACTGGAGTTTTTAAAGGACTCAAATGATTAAAGAGGGGAGGGAATGGTGTTCCAAGTGTTGAAGAACAGATTAGACAGTAGCAGGGAGGTTAAAAAGAATACTACATAGGCCTTTTCAATGATAATACGATATTTATAGTGGACTAAAAGTGGAGAAAGTTAAATTTCCAAATTGGACAGAAGTAGTGAAGAATGTCCCAAATAAGAAGACTCAGCCTAGTCTAGCAGCTTTGGGAGTTGTGCAGGGCCTAATAATATGATTGGCTGGAGGAGAAAGGTAGAAGAAAGAGAAGAGAAGTATTTATCATCAAGGACCACCTTGGGAATCCACCACCACCACCACCATCATCATTATCACAAGAGAGAGCTAAAGTTCTAACAAGTTTAAACTATTCCTATGGGAACCCAGTCAATATTAATCCCAACCTTGTCTAACTCCACTGCCCACACTCTTTCCTCTGATACAACAGAGAGAACTTTACAATGCATTTAATTTACTTTTCATCAGCTTTCCTCATTCGTTTTTGTTTTACCTGATTGCAGAAGCTTCCTGACACAGGCGATCTGCATGTTTTGACAAGCCAAATAGAGTGGAGTGCCCAGGCGGCTGATATGATAGTCAATGTCACCCCCATGAGCTACAATGGACTCGATGCACTCCACATGACCTGCAGCCCAAAATAGGAGAAAACAGTTACACAATGAATTCTCTTAGCTAGGCAAGCACGTTCCCCATTTTTCATGGTTTTTAAAAAAATATTTTAATTAAATTTATTGGGGTGACACTGGTTAGAAAGATTATATAGGTTTGAAGTATACATTTCTATAATATATCATCTTTATATTGCATTGTGTACACACAACCCAAAATCTAGTGTCCTTCTGTCACCATATATTTGGCCTCCTTTACTACCACCCCTTACCTCTACTAAGCATATTTTTAAATCTGCGAGCAACTTATCCAGGGGACCTAAAGTATTTCCTTTGTTTAGAATAGGTAATGATTTCAAATACTGCCATCAGTTCATGGGTTGACCATAGATGTAACATCGACTTTGGGTGAAACTGCACTTGAGTTTACTAGCCATATGTTAAGCAACTAGCAACCATCCACCCTTTTCAAATGTTTTGAGCTTTGCAATCAGTCCAAGTACAGAAATGGAAGTTAGAGTTGGGCAGAGGTATGGAGGAACAGAGACTGCATATGGACTTGAAGAAGAAAGTGCACAGCGTGGGCCATGGGACAGGAAATCCCACATACAACCTCACCAAAGACAGGCCCTGGGACCAACATTTGGAATGCTCTGAAAAGGTAGTTCTCAAGTTTCCTGTTCATCAGAATCACCCAAGAGGGCTTTTGAAATAAAACAAAGATGGCTGAACCAGAGTCACTGGTTCAATGGGTCTGGAGTGAGGCCCAAGAATCTGCATTTGTATGCTAAGTCACACTGATGCTTCTGGCCCTGGACCCCACCTTGAGAACTACTAATCTAAAACTGACTTCCTCTCTCTTCTTTCTTTCAACAGTGAGGTCCCTTGAAGGGTTGGTGGGAAAACAAATTCTCAACAACTTTACCTCTTTTGGCAGCTTCATGGATGGGAGATGCTAGGTCACACGCAGGATGGGGGCTGGCTCCATACTCCAGAAGCAATTTCACACAGTCCTGGCTGCCACTGACACAAGCATTAAACAAAGGAGTGTGCCAGTCTGTGGTGACGCCATCCACCTGGAATTAAAAGCTCCACAATGCAGACAAGGCAATGGGATGACCTTCATTCAAATCTATACTCCACCACTTCCAAGCTGGTATTTTAACTTCTCCGAGCCTTAAATTTCACAGCCACAAAATAGAGGCAAAAATATGAAATTCCATGAGGTTATTGTGAAAAATTGAATAAGGCATGGGATATAAGGCACCATGAATGTTACTGAGTATTCTATCTCCCTCATGCCCTTCCCAGGAACACAATATTGAAACCAGTTAGGATAATTTCAATACCTTACAAAGAAACCTCTTTATTTTAAACATTCCAGCCTAGACCCATGCCACATCAATCCAGTGTCTTCACAGCAGCCAGAGTAACTTTCCAAAATTGTTTAAATGTATTTATTTTTTAAATACATTTTATTGATTTTTTTTTTTACAGAGAGGAAGGGGGAGAAATAGAGAGTTAGAAACATCGATCAACTGCCTCCTGCACACCCCCCACTGAGGATGAGCCCACAACCAAGGTACATGCCCTTGACGGGAATAGAACCTGGCACCCTTCAGTCCGCAGGCCGATGCTCTATCCACTGAGCCAAACTGGTTTCGGCATGTTTAAAAATTTTAAAACATGACTTTCATATAAATAGAGAGTGAGCACAGGCCAAATATTTTTTTTCAATTCATTCATTAATGAGGGAACCAGTAAGATGGCAAGGCATGCTGAAAGGAGAATTTATGTAAGTCAGTCAAGGGAATGCTGAAATAAATTTGCTAGACACAAAACTAATTAATGCCCTATTGGGGCATAAAAGTATAACCTTAGGGATATTTTTCTAATGTTGGAAATGAGACAGAAACCTACAAGTTAGCATCTCTCTTCACAAGGGTTTGGGCTATAATTGAATAGGAAAGAGCAAAGCCAAATGCAGATGCATTTTTCTATACTGTTAAGAAATTCTTTGGCGAACTGTTAAACAATAATATTGTGAGACAAGGCCAGCACCAGGGAGGCACAAAAGACACCCAGGGGTACAAGGTTCAAGGAGACACCCACTCTCAGGGTCACAAAAGAGCTGTATGCCTCTAAAAGTGAGCAGCTCTTTCAAGTTTGCTCTGTAGGCACCTCTCTTGCCTGTCCTTAGTCTTGGCTCTGTTTATAAGTTTGGGGTACTCTTTCTGAACCAAAATATAAACCTGCATAGAGGCCTGTGGAAAGGAAGCACCATTTTCCCCAACCAACCATTTAGCTGAGTACCTCCAATAGGTCCTTGAGATTTCAGGTTAGACATCATTTCTTACAGGAAGCCTGTTTTGAATCTCTCCCCATCAGAAATAATGGGTTGGGAGCGCGTCTGTGTGCTCCCAACAACCCCCTTACAATGAACACTTAGTACATTGTAGTTTGCAAAATGGCCACAGATTCTCTCCATGGTATGCAGTGTGGCTTTGCAAGTCTTCATAAGATGGAGACTATTTTTTTCAGTCCTTGAATCTGGGCTTGCCCATGTGACTTGCTTTGGCTGATGGGACAGTAACAAATATGTTACTAGCAGAGACCTCGCCCTCTTTTGCTTCCCTTGGAATCCTGCTACCATGTAAACAAGCCCAGGCAGCCTGTTAAAGGACCAGAGACCACATAGAGATGTTTCTGGTTCACCAGACATCTCCTCTAACCCAGTCAAGGTCATCATGAACTAGCCTGCTCCAGCTAATCTCAGATGCATAAGTAAGCCCAGCTGAGGTCAGCTGAACCAGCCCAGACCAAAAGGGCTGTCCAGCCAACACAAGGAATTGTGAGGTAACAATGGCTGCCGTCTTAAGCCATTAGGTTGGGGTGATTTGCTACATAGCAAATACTAATGGATAACAATAGTGTATTGTAAATGCTTTCTCTGGCTGAGATGGTATTTCTTCTCTTGAGCATGCAACCATACTATATTTCCCTGCCTCCCTTGGCAGTTATATGTGGCCTGAGTTCTGGCCAATGGATGTGGGCAAAAGTGATCTGTGTTACACTCTAGACTTATTTTAAAAGTTTCTATGAACAAATCTCCAAGTCTTTTCAACCACCTGGAATGGAGATTACCCCAAGAGCACACATGCAAGCCACTTGTTGAAAACAGTGGAGCAGGATGGAAGAATAACCCTGTATTCCTGAATAACCCTTGAGAAAGAGCCACCCAACTGGCAACACCCACACTGGAATTTCAGTTGAGCAAAAAACAAACTTTCATTTGTTAGGCTACTGAGATATAAACATTCATCTATTGAAGCAGCTAGTGTTACAGCCGTTTTTAAAACACCTGTTTTATTGGTCTGTCTCCTCATTTACTTTAAGAATTCCTAAAACTCTTATCCACAGTTAGGTATATAATAAATGCTCAATACATGCTCAATAAATATAATAAATGCTTGTTGAGAGAATGTGAGACAGTCATATACAATTTTCAGATCAGATTTTCCTATCACTTTTGAGCATGAGAAGACTTAGTTAATGGAAGACTTACTATCAAATTAAATGGCTTTGCCTCCTTCTTCTTCCTCTAGGATTATGCTATCCTGATTCTTATTCTCCAAATAATAATCATATACTATATATATTTCAATCTCTGAAATAGCACAGTAAGTTACACAACTCTGATATTTCTTTCATTTTTCAGATGTAGTCTCTAAAGCTCAAACAATAAGCAACTTGTTCAAGTTTTCAATGTTAGGAAATGGTAAAGATGGCCTAGGACCACTACTCAGATCAGGAGCCAAATGTTGTGTGATTTCTACAAATATTTCACTACCTTCAAGCCATTAGAATAAAGATAGAAATCTAACAGCTATTTAATAGTACTGAGTATCAAAGAGAATGAGATAGACAGGAACCATTTCTAGCTGAAAATTCAGTACTTCATCTAATTGCTAAAGCAGACAAGCTTGACGGACATAATACTTTTGAAAAACATCCCTCTTCACATTTCAAATCAGGCTAATAAAAAAGGCCGGGGATTATTCTGAAGGGATAGAAATAGTAATTTTTCCTTCATGGCTTCTAAGATGTTATTTGAGCAGCACTTACCTGAGCTCCGTGCTTTAATAAAATGGATACACAAGAGGCATGACCTCCAAGACAGGCTTCATGGAGTGGGGACACACAATCTGCTGTGGTGATGTTCACACCCCACCCCTGGAGGATGGAAAGTGGGCAGAATAAGGGGATTTTTTCATGTTCATTTGCATATGCAAAGCATCAGTTGTCAGCCAGGAATCCAGTACTATGACAATTTTTTTAAAAGCTCACCTGGCTCAAAATCTGACAGTATACGATGATGCAGAAAAAAACAAGAACAGAAGAGGATCTTTCATACTGCTGATGGGAATGTAATATGACACAATCACTCAGGAAAAGCTTGACGGTATCTATTAGAGTTGATGATATATATACTTATGATCCAACAATTTGACTCTTAGTAGGTACATATACTCAAGACTGACTTTCATTTTGTTCTCTCTCTCTTTCGTCCTCTCAATTGTTGGCTTACTGTTTTGATGAGCTCCATGGCAAGGAATTATTCCTGCATGGACTCTTGCATTGTTGGGCTGGCCCTGCTATGGTCCAGTCTTTTGCCATGAGAAGAAAATGTCTCGTGTAGCCAGTGGTCAAAGAAAGATGGGAGACAAGTGAAGCAGAGATGTACCCAACCCACAGCTTGACGCCAAACCCAGCCTAGATCAGCTGATGTAAAGACTTGTTAGCAAGAAATGTTTATTGCATATGCCACTGAGTTTGAGGCAGTTTGTTACACAGGAAGATCTAACTAAGGCAGATAGGTACTGGAATGCTCATTTTATAAAGATAGAAATTGAGTTTCCACAAAGATAACTAATGAGACAGAGCTTAGATAAAAGCATAGTTCTGGCTGATGTTCGGTAAACGTATAAATACTGAATATAAATGAGTCCAATTTAATAAGTGAGATGTAAAAGCTGCAATGATCATTTTTCATCCTATTAAAATAAGGTAAATGTTACATTTAATCCGAGAAGAAGCTTAACTTCTTTTAGGTAGAGTTACTATCTATATTTCTACTTATAATAAGCTGTTGCTATCAAAAACAGCTTAAGATAGGGACTTAGGGTAGTCTGAAAATTTTCTTAAGAAATTGCTTTCTGATAGGAGAGTTGTTTATTCTAGAAAAATCCATGAAATTGGAATTTGTTTTGAAAGCACATTTATTTTCACTAACCACTACCTGATATGTATCATGTCCTTCAATTATTTATTCAATTATTGATGTAGACATTAAACCACAGTAGTAATAACAGTTTATAGGACTATCATGGAGAGGAATCACAGATATTTTTATTACATACCAGTTCTTACAAATATTTAAAACAGCCAAAATATATGTTCATCCTACTTAGAAATTATGGTAGTCATTAGAATCACCACTAAATCCTCTTTGATGCATTAATAAAGAAGTGCATATATTACTATGTCACACACTTGTCATGTAATATCTTGATAACTTTTCTCTGTATTGTGTCTTATGTATTTAAAACATTAATCTGAGAAGAGGACTATAGACTTTGCCAAACTTTCAAAGGGGATTATGGTCAGGAAAGGTCAAGAGCTCCTAATTTAAAAGCTATATTATCTTTTCAGAGAACAGAACATACTGAACAAAAACTTTAGAATTTTGAATGGTGACTTAATATCAAACTGAGCAGAGCTACTATCAACTGGAGATTCAATAGAACTACTAACATTGTTGGGTAGATAATTTTTTGATGTGCAGAACTGCTCTGTGCAATGTAGGATGTTAGGTGACATCTCTGGTCTCTATCTGCTAGATGCCAGTATCACCCTACCATACTCATTTCCAGTAATGAGCACCAAAAACATCTCCAGACATTGAAAAAATGTCCCTTATGGGGCAAAATCACTCCAGTTAAGAACCAAAATTACATGATAATTTTAAAGAACATAGTCTAATGAATAAAATAAAGACAACTTAAATACACTAATTTTCCCTTTATTCGTTTAATAGATACTTATTACAGTATCTACTATGTATATAGAATTGTACCAAATTCTAGGATTATCCCAGCCTCCAAATTTTAAAAATGGTTGGATAGTATGAGATTTGCTTTATTTTGCTGAAGAGGAATTTATATCTTAACGAGAGGCCCGGTGCATGACAATTCATGCACTGGAGGGTTTCCCTCAGCCAGGCCTGCCCCCTCTCATAGTCTGGGAGCCCTCAGGGGCAGGAGGTGATCCAGTGATCAAGGGAAGGCGATGCCCCATCACACCTCTGCTCCTGCCACTGCCAGAAGCACAAGCCTCGGCCAGCCCTGGTTATCTGAGCCTTGGGAAGCCACCAACCCAGGCTTGCCTGTGCCTCAGGCTGAATCTTGGTGGCTGGGGGTCTTAAGAGAACTGGGGGACTCTGGAGGCAGATTTGTGGCAGGGGTGGGCCCAGCCTTGCCAGGTGCCTGTGGCCCTGGCAGGGCTGAGGAGACTGGGCGCTGCTATCTTGTGGCTATGGGTGCTGGCATCTTTGAGGGAGTAGCAGTCAATTAGAATATTCCCTCCTTATTGGCTGTGGGCACTGCCATCTTTGAGGGAGTGGCAGTCAATTGGCATATTCCCTCCTTATTGGCTGTGGGCACTGCCATCTTTGAGGGCAGGGCAGTCAATTAGCATATTCCCTCCTTATTGGCTGGGGGTGCCACCATCTTTGCAAAGGTGTGAGGATCAATCAGCATATTCCCTCTTCATTAGATAGGATATCAGACTACGATTTTTTTTTCTCAGTGTGGTGAGCAATAGGATGTGCTTAATGTTTATCTTTTTTTTTTTTTTTCTCAAAACGCTACCTACCTGGCCAATGAGATTCCTCAAAGTGAGCAGACGCCCATTGACTGCAGCTTCATGCACTGGAGACCAATCAGACTCAGCCCCTGTATGGAAAAAGAGGAACAGGTTACATCCAGCTTATGTACTTCAGACCAGACGCTCATCCTTGTCCATCAAATAAGAGCCTAATGGGCATTATTGGTTGGAGTCATTCAACCAAAAGCCCTATCAGGACTTCAGCATTTCTCTCCTTTATTGATGGTTTTTGTACACAGTTTATTAGAAATATCTATGTGGCTAAAGAATTACATCTGGTGTCCAAACTAAGATAAACATTAAGCACAAGAGAGGTAGACTGGGATGGCAGATGGATTACTGTACTTCCATTTACACACTGATTTCAAATGGTCCATTTAGTTAAGTTAGAGCTTCACTAATCACCAGCATTAATGTGTTCAGCTGCAGTTGTCAGACTAGTTTCCTATGTGAAATACAAACTTTGGCATCTCAGCAAACAGTGCCATATACTAATAGTAGTAATCAGGTAATTACATACACCGTTAGGTATGGAATCAAATCTAAATCTAAATCTATACCTCCTGTCCCAGTATCAAGTGCAAATCAGAGCTCAGTCTGACTTGTAACAGGGATGTTATTTACTCCCACAGGCAATGTGCTAATGTGGTTAAGAGAAAGCTCTGAATCAAGACCCACTTGGTTTCTTCTGAGTTGTGGGTCCCTGGACAGGATCTAAGCTTCAGTTTCCTTCTCTGTAAAGTGAGAACGGCAATACACTTAGCCATGGCTCAGTACCTATTAGATACTATTCCTATCATGCCCTCACACTAAACAGAGTCTTGGTTACACCCCACAACCACTGCTATTTAAAATAGCACATCTGTTCCACAACCATTTGGAAGGAACCCACATTCTTAGGAAGGAAGCTTATAAACCCTATCCCCACACACTAAATGCTTTCCTCTTTCTGAGTGTGGATGGAATCTGAATGAGGCATAGACCTGAATTTTTCTTGTCTTAAACTGCGACTGGTTTCCAGAACAAATGCAGGAAGTCAGAATGTTGAAAAAGCTCTTCTGATCTTACTTTAGCTCTGGCCCTGCCCACTTCAGTTCCAGCTCTGCCCACTACTGCACGCAGACAAGGCCAGTCACATCTAGTAGAGGGACTGCTGTTTCCTAAAGGCTGAGAAGACCTGGAGAACCAGTACAGTTACTGATGCCTTGAAAGTTGAAAGGCCATAAAGGAGGAGGGAAGAATGCTTTGTACTTGACACGTATTGGCTGAGGTCTGCCTGCTCCATGGAGCTAGCAATGTCCCGGAAAATCTGTCCCAGTGAGCAAATTACCATCTTCCCAGATGGACTCATGAAGCATGTAATAGGTGAGGGAAAGCTGGATGAGTCAACCTACACACTGCCCATCCAATGCTTTCCTCTGAGCTCACGGATGTGCAGGAGGCACCTTAAGAGAAGTGGCTTTTCCTACCTCAAAAACCTTAGGCTCAGTAGAAACCCAGGATCCTCAAAGCCTTCTCTGAGGTTCCTACATCTCTTAGAAAAAAAATATTGCTGCCTCTAGCACTGAGAGCCTACAATCTACACTGTAGAAACAGAAACATTTCTCTCAATTAGAATTAAAGGGTAACTAATTCTGCCCTGTTGGTGCTAATGCAAAATACCATTCACAGCAAATTATGTGAGAAGAGCCAAACATTTCAAAAGGTTTTGAAAATCAGTTGTAAACAGATTTGCAAATGGACACTAATAGATCACCCTGTGTGATGAGTAATCTGTTTTTCCTTCATGGTGCTCAGTTGCCACACTTCTCAACCTTTCTTAAGGCAACCTCAGATAATTAGGGGTGACAGACTAAACAGTCCAGACAGGTAATTTGGGTCCTACATGGTAAATCTGTTTAATTTCATGAAAATGATGCAATTACATTATCAAGTGTACACATAAATGGGCTTTACTTTCTATTCATTCATCATGGAACCATTACTCCTTCTATTTAGTGTAAATTAAGAATTATGTACTTCTTGAAGAAAAGGGGAAAAAAGCTACCTGAGGTCTTGTACCCCCACTTTAGAATGTAGCATTAACAGAGCATGGACATATGTGTCTTTGAGAGGCACCGGGTATTGTCCTGATACATGTGGTAGAGGTTGACAATATCTATCTAACAGCTATATTGACTTCTAATTCACACACTGTACAATTCACTCATTTAAATCTATTAATTCAATGGTTTCTCGTGCATTCAGAGTAGTGCAACCATCTCCACAGTCAATTTCAGGACCATTTTATCTTCCCCAAAAGAAACCCCTTGCCCATTAGCAGTCACTCCCCATTTCTAATTCACCAACCCCTGGAAAACATTGGTCTCTTTACTGTCTCTATGGATTTGCCTATTCTAGGCATTTCATATAAACATAATCATACTAGAGGACTGGTGCATGAAGTTCACACATCAGGGACAGGGGGGTTCCCTTAGTCCGGCCTGCACTTTCTCCAATCCAGGACCCCTCAGGGGATGTCTGACTGCTGGTTTTGGTTTAAACCAGCAGTCAGACATCCCTCTCGCAATTTGGTACTGCTGCCTGCTAACCTCTCACCTGCCTGCCTGCTTGATCCCCCCTAACCACCTCTGCCTGCTGGCCTTATTGACCCCTAACTGCTCTCCCCTGCTGGCCTGATCACCCGTAACCACCTCTGCCTTGGCCCCCACCACTGTGTCTTTGTCCGGAAGGACATCTGGAAGATGTCTAGTCTAATTAGCATATTACCTTTTTATTAGTATAGATAATATGTGGCCTTCTGTAACTGGCTTCTTCACGGAGCATAATGTTTCAAGGTTCATCCACATTGTAGTATGTATCAGTACTTCATCTCTTTTTATGGCCAAGTAATAGCCATTTATCTAGATTAACCACATTTTGTTTATTAATTTATTAGTTGGTGGATATATATGTTACTTCCACTTCTGAGCTATTATGAATAATTCTGCTATGAACATTCATGTACAAATGTTTGAGTGGATGTGCTTTCAATTCTCTTGGGTATACATACACCTAGGAGTAGAACTGCCTGTATAATATAGTAACACAATGTTGAGCCCTTGATGGAACTGCAGCTGTACCACTTTATATTCTATCAGCACTGTATGAGACTTCTCTTTCTAAATTAGTCATTTCCACCTAGAGGTTAGTAAGGCTATCACAGTGTGCTATACTCCTGCCCAAAGAAAAACGTGGGTCCTTGTAAAGCCAAAATTCATCTCAAATTTATACAAGGACTTTAGCTTCATCGGTCTCTGAACAACTGAATGATTACATAAAAATTAAAAATTGTTACAATGAAGGTTGATATTTTTTCTAGCATTGAGAGCATGCATTATGTATGTATTATATAATACATACCCATTATATAATACATAATGTGTGTGTTTATATTTATATATGTACATTTATATATATATATATATATATATATATATATATATATATATATACACACACACATACATGTACCAGTACAAGTATATGTATACAGTTTAGCAAATGGTATAATTTGCTACATGGGTTAGTCCACACACACTTTAGCTCTTGAAAAACATTGAAGAGATATCTGAGAGATTTTTTCTCCAGGGTTTTCTAGAGCCCACACCCAAGCAGGCAACTCATAAATTAAACCCAGAAGCTGCCTTGCCTGCCTTCCTGCTGATAACTAGAAAAAGCAAAATCAATGGGAAAGGGGATATTTTCCTACCAGAGCACGGGCAATGCTCACAGGAGACTATGGAAGAAATAGAGATTCAAGGTCTCAATCCCCTTTCCCCTGATTCCTGATTTGAAACTCAAAAGCCATTCTCAGTGTAGAACACATTATCCAAGCCCTTGATGTATGAATATGTTAAAGATTCTTCCCCAGTGTTTGTTCAGCCAGGGTCTATTGGTTTTACCACCAAAAAATAGATTCTAAATGAGGTCAATGGCAATACCATAGATCCAAAATGGGGCAGGAAGCTGTCCTAACAAAAACACTCCGTAAGTCCTCCAATTAGTGCCATTAAACTGACCTTTCTTTTCAATTGAATCTCCATCAAACCCTGCAGCACATTAGAAAGGCTGCCACTTCATTTTTATTGTAATCTCTGTAATTATTTTCTAAATTGCCATTATTTTGGAAGAGATTTAAAATGCACTAATTGGTACATTCTACAAAGAGCTTTTAACGAAGCTCTGAGACCCGGGTGAACGCCAACAGAAGCATAAATATAACTATCCTTAGAAACATCTTGCAAGGTCAAGAGGACAAAAGAGATGATCCAAGAGAGTAGAAGCATTTGCCTGCAGTCTTTGGAACATGGTTGGGTAGGGTCATTCCTACCCTATCCGATTCAGAGCCTGCCCTGCAATCATTCCCCAGCCTCAGTCCCATATCATCAGGCTGTGCATTGGCCAATGGAATTTCTATGTTCAAAATAGAACTCCTTAATCTCCCTTCCTCACTCTGTTACCAAGCAGCTCCCCCTCCCAACTTCTCTTTTGTCTAGCCCTCTTATCTGACATTAATCTAGGCTTGAAAACATTACAATCTGGGCTGCTTTCTCTCACTTGGCCCTACTAGTCTGATTTATGTTTCTTTTCAAATGATCACTCGTATTTTCCCTTTCTCTGTCATTTCTAAGTTTGATCAAATGTGAGGTTCATGCTTGGCTTAGTGCAATGGTTCTCAAGGTGTAGTCCCCAAATAGCACGATCAGCATCACCTTTTATAAATGCAGATTTGCAGGCTTATCCCAGACCTACCACTGCTAAGATGCCCTAGGATAGGGCTCAGCCTCTGCATCTTATCACGCCCTCCAGGGGGTGCTGGTGCACAGGAGAGTTTGAGAACCTGTGGGTTAGCGCAGGAATTTCCTGTGATCCCACCACAATCCATCCTGATTGTGACGATCAAGTTTCATTTATTCCAGTCTTCATTATTGCTGGATCCCTGCTCAAGAATCACCTATGGCTCCCAATTCTCTGCCTCATAAGCTAACTCTGCCATCTACCTTTTGAAGTTTCATTGTCAGGCTTCATCTCTCCAAACTTGTTCTCACTAGACTTCTAAGAAACTCTGCATTCTGGTTGTGACGGTGTGTTCACTTTAAATATTTTTATTGCTTTTTACAGAGAGAAAGAGAGATACATTAATGATGAGGGAGAATCATCTATCTGCTGCCTCCTATACGCCCTCTACTGGGGATAGAGCCCACAACCAAGGTACATGCCCTTGCCAGAAATGAACTTGGGACCCTTAAGTTCCCGGGCTGATGCTCTAGCCACTGAGCCAAACCGGTTAGGGCTGTGCTCACTTTTTAAGTACTATATTTTGGAGTATATTTACACCTGTCTACCCCAACCCACTCATCCAGCCCCAACCAGGGTTTGGACCGAGATCTTTAGAAACCCTCAACAGGGAAAAGTGGTTGGCACCTCTCTCATATGAAAATAAACATAATACTTAGCTGTAAAATAATCCTGTGGAAGTCAACCACTAAATAACTGGTTCTCTCCCATATTGATTGATTTACTATTTCACAAATATATTTATCAACTTCATTTTAAAAAGTGATTTTCAGTACCACTCTGCTTTCTACTGCTCCAAATTTATGCTCAGCCCATCTGATTAATCCAGCTCTGCCTCTGCAGATCCAAATCCCACTCACTGTTCAGTGTTCTGCTCATTTTACAAGCAAAATGGGATAAATGAATGAATGAATGAATGAGTAGTCTTATCTGTTCAATTAATTCAGAGGAAAAGCATTTTGGGTCTTATTCCTCAGTTTTTCCCCTTTCAGCACTTATATAGTAGGAAATTAATAAGTCTTACTTGACCGCAGGTCCCTGCTTATTGATCTCAAGTGTTATGCGCAGTCTACCAGGATACTGGATATAATCATCTTTTCTCAGATGCCTACACCGTTTTTTCAGAATACTATCAGTTAGCAGGAACCAGCTGAATTCTCACAGAAAATGACTGTTTCCTGGACGTGTAGACTCTGTACTTTAGCAAAGACATCACCTAACAGGTGATAATCATTCCTGTAAGATTTGTCTCCAACTTTTTAAAAAATAAGGTTCCTCTTATTTTTAATATATATTTTTATTAATTTCAGCCAGGAAGGGAGAGGGAGAGATAGAAACATCAATGATGAGAGAGAATTATTGATTGGCTGCCTCCTGCACACCCACACTGGGGATTGAACCCACAACCTGGGAATGTGCCCTGGCCAGAATTGAACCGTGACCTCCTGGCTCATCAGTCGACACTAAACCACTGAGCAACACCATCTGGGCAAGGTTCCTTTTAAAGTGAATCAATCACTTCAGTGCTCAATGTTTGAACATCCTTTATTAACCCAGCCCCACCTCAATTCCAAATACCAAAAATGACTTAATAAATGTTTTGGCAGTAAAAAAAAAAATGTTTCTATTTATAAGTAACTTTTAAACCTCCAGTGTAATGTGATATATTTGACCTTCGAAGTTAAAGTTTTTATCAGAAAATAAACACTGACAGCTCTCTATGGTCTACAGGACTCTGCAGATAGTGGTGGACACATTTTGGAATAACCATTTAAAGAATAAATACCAGCAAGCTGTGTGCATCTGCCTAGCAAACTGCCCCAGGGACATATCTCCCAATGAGCCACTAAAATTGCCCAGTCCTCTTCTCTCCCTCTCCACTAACCAAACTCCCCAGCACGCTGATCCCACAACCCCTAAACTCACCTCCCATCAGTGGATTTGAGAGAAACCTGGTGGTGGCAGGAAAGACTCCTACAGCTGAGGGCTTGCTGCCAGTTCTGCTTGGTGGTTCGCGGTCCATGGTGCTCTCGTGGGTCAGTCAAGCTCCCTGTCCCTCTTCAGTTGGTCAGGAAAAGTCCAAACTCCAGGCTATCTCCGCTCCTGGGAAATTCCAGCGCTGTGTCTGGCTACACTGCACCGTCCTGGTCAGACAGTAGAACAGCCGTCTGCAACAGAGAAGAGAACAGGCACAGTAATCTGAGTGCTACCTGTGGTGGTTCTCTCTCTCTCTCTCTCTCTCTCTCTCTCTCTCTCTCTCTCTCTCTCTCTCTCTCTCTCTCTCTCTCACACACACACACACACACACACACACACACACACACACACACACACACACACACAGATACACGCACCACCTAGCTGGCTGGAGGCTGACTAAAGCCCACGACACAGCCCCCTAGCCCCAAGTCTATAAAGCCGCTGATGTCACGTCCTTTCTAAAACTGAGACCAATCAGTGAGGAAGGCTTGGGGTTATCAGGAAGGAAACTCACACTTTGTAACTTTTGGAGAGCGAAGGAACAGGGTGGGGGTGAAGGAAGCCTTGTTCCTGGCTGCAGCCTCATTCCCCTGCTGGGATCAGTTCGTTATTTGGGGGCTTCCTGTTGAGACAAGTCCCAGAACCCAGGAGCAGACCGAGCTGATGTTGCTGCATCCCTGCTGAACTGCTTGCACAGCAGCATGCCCAAGACGGCCTGGCCATCTGCACATGTGGTTTCAATTTTTTCTGGGAGTTTCATATGGGAAAGTGTGTCTATATGTTACAAACATGCAAGCTTAGAAACAACTTTTAGTTTCTTCCGTCCAACTGCAAGAATTTCATGAGAAGCCCTATATGACCCTTCCTCCACGCATTATACATTAACTTCTCAGTAAATAATTAATGGTTACTATTGGAAAATAGATTGCTGGCCAGCGCGGGGGCATGAAAGGAGCCTGCTACTTTACTGTTAATTATACAGTTTTAGTTTGTGTACGTGTTGCCTTTACAAAATACTTGCTTTTTGCACATGTGTCTTTGCAGATCTGTCCTGCTTCCCCGCACCTCTGGGTGCTGGTTCCAGCTGATGGGCGTCCCTAGACTCCAGCTACTCCTCTACCAGGAGGGAGTTTTTTAAAAATATATATTTTATTGATTTTTTACAGAGAGGAAGGGAGAGGGATAGAGAGTTAGAAACATTGATGAGAGAGAAACATCGATCAGCTGCCTCTTGCACACCTCCTACTGGGGATGTGCCCACAACCAAGGTACATGCCCTGACCGGAATCGAATCTGGGACCTTTCAGTTTGCAGGCCAACACTCTATCCACTGAGCCAAACTGGTTAGGGCCCAGGAGGGAGTTTTGCTTCCCCATCAGGGAAGACTGAGTGAGTCTCAAGCAGTCTGGCTGTGAAATGGTTGCAAAGTAGCATCACTGTTTCAGACTTATGGATCCTCAGTTGAAAAACACGGTGGCCATTGTTAGCGGTTTGAGGAGAGTCATTCATATTTCATAACACATTTCCTTGTACACATACACATTTATCCCCTTACTATTTTCACATAATTGTAATTATATTATCATATAGTTCTACTTTTTACACTTACTTTGTCTTAGAGCTCTTTACATTTCAGCATATAGAATTGTGTCCCTGTTTTCAGTCATCACAGAAAGTATCCCATACTGTTCCAAAATATTTAATCATTTCCCTAAGATGGAGGCAGAATGTTACCATTTCATTTTTTATTTAAAAAAAATACTGAGTCCCTGTTTCCTTACATACAGCTTTGTGCACACATGCAAATATTTCTGGAGGAGAGATTCCTAAGAGTGGAAATACTGAGTCAAAGGTGTGTTCATACATGTGATAATTTCTCTAGAACTAAAGACACACATAGGAGTACAAATCAAAATGGAGAATTCTTAATGAGATTAGTAGATTGTTTTCATGATCATTTCCTGGTTGTGATATTGATAGTGGGGAAAGGCAAGAACAGAGCCACAGATCACTAATAATCATTCACCTTACTACCGTGTTTCCCCGAAAATAAGACCTAGTGCAACTTTGGGAGAAAAAATTAATATAAGACACTGTCTTATTTTCGGGGAAACAGGGTAGCTATAGATGAGAAGTTTTCTTACAGACCCTGGGAAGCCAGAGGATGAAACAAGGCTGTAAAAAGATAAGATGCCTCGATGGGTCCATGATTCAGAAAAGAAATACATTTTGAGAACAACCAAGGACAGGACAGCTCTGATTGGTTGCTGTGCCCGGACCCTGACCCCCTCTATGTGTTTTCTCAGGAAGGCTGACCATTCTCTGGTCCCAGGAAATGGCTTAACTGTTTGTAACTACACACAAGATTAGCCACCTTGTTATCGGACTTTGAGTTCCTGCAGGCCGGACAGCAGACCCGACCCTCCCCTTTCCACGTTACACTTGCAGCTCACAGCTCCACGTAGCTATCTTCTCCCTCGTGTGTACATAATCAACCAACCAGCAAGAGGGGTCACAGCAGAATTTCCAGGGTGACCAACTGCTCTCCCATACAGCCTGCATTATTGGAATAAACACTCATATATGATTCAACCTTGTCTCTGCTTAATTTGGCTCAAGTAGGTAACAGGTGACCTCAGACCTATTGTGTCCAGTTTCAATATTATACTGCAGTTTTGCAAAAGTAAAACTGGGTAAAGCCACAGGAGATCTCGTCATATTATTTCTTACAACTTCATGTGAATTTACAATGATCTCAGTAAAATTTTCAATTTGAAAGAAAGGTGTCCACTTAAAAGTGAGATAAGCACTGCCAAATTGCCCTTCAGCTCTATTTGCACAATTAACTGAGAAGGCCATTAGCATATACGTGGTTCACTACTCCAACAGGAAAGATTTGAAGAACAATAAAATGCATTTGGCAAAGAAGGAGAAATTTACTCCCAACTAGTCTGGATGACAAGGAGTTAACAAAGGGGCATAATGGAGAAGCTGGATGCCAACACCCTTTTTTCTGAGTAAAACCTTCACAATACAGCTTCTTTATTTAATTAAATTCTAAGAAGATAAGGTTATTCCATACTCAAAATTAAGTTTATTGTCCAAAATGACAAAAAAGATTTCCAGGTGTTGCCTTAGTACCTGCGTGGGCATTAATCACCTTTTAATCTTATCCTATCTAATAAAAGAGTAATATGCAAATTGGACTGTCAAGCCAACACACAACATGGCCACCCCCATGTGGTCAAAGATGGCTGCCCCCATGTGGACACAAGATGACTGCCACAAGGGGAGGGCAGTTGTGGGCTATCAGGCCAGCAGGGGAGGGCATTTGTGGAGGACCAGGCCAGCAAGAGAGGGCAGTTAGGGGCAACCAGCCTGGCAAGGTAGGGTAGTTAGAGGTTACCATGCCAGGAGGGGAGGACAGTTAGGGGTGACCAGGCTGGCAGGGGAGGGCAGTTAGGGGTGACCAGGTTGGCAGAGGAGGGTGGTTAGGAACAATCGAACTGGCAGGGGAGCAGTTAGATGTCGATCAGGCTAGCAGGGGAGTGGTTAGGGGGTGATCAGGCTGGCAGGCAGAAGCATTAGGGGCAATCAGACAGGCAAGCAGGCAAGCGAGCAGTCCTGGATTGTGAGGGAGATGTCCAACTGCCCGTTTAGGTAGTCAGACATTCCTCGAGGGGTCCCAGATTGGAGAGGGTGCAGGCTGGGCTAAGGGACACACACACACACACACACACACACACACACACACACACGCCATACACAAATTTTGTGCACTGGGCCTCTAGTCCTATATAATAAAAGCCTAATATGCTAAGTGTCTGGTTGTCCAGTTGGCCATTTAACCAATCAAAGAATAATATGCTAATGATATGCTAATGCCTCTCAACCGCTCGCTTTGACATGCACTGATCACCAGGGGGCAATCAACCAATCAACCAGTCACTATGACATGCACTGACCATAAGGGGCCGGACTCTCTGACCAGTAGGTTAGCTTGCTGCTGGGGTCCGGCCGATCAGGACTGAGCTAGACATGCCCTGGGTCCCTCTCATGGTTTCTCCCTGTCTGGGTAACCTCCTGCATCGCTCCCTGTCCCTGATCATGTACTGGTGGGGTCCCTTGGCCTGGCCTGCACCCTCTCACAATCCGGGACCCCTTGGGGGATGTCAGAGAGCCAGTTTCAGCCCAATGGTGGAATGACCAGTTGCTATGATGCACACTGACCACCAGAGAGCAGACATTCAATACAGGAAATGCTCCCTATGGTCAGTGCACTCCCATAGGGGGAGCGCTGCTTAGCCAGAAGCTGGGCTCATAGCTGGTGAGTGCAGCAGCAGTGGTGGGAGCCTCTCTCACCTCTTCAGCAGCACTAAGGATGTCCGACTGCCAGCTTAGGCCCGCTCTTAGCAGTCAGACATCCCCCTTGAGCTCCCGGACTGTGAGACAGCACAGGCTGACCTGAGGGAGCCCCCTTCTGAAGTGCACGAATTTCATGCACTGGGCCTCTAGTTATATTTATAATATTGATCAACACTTGTAAATATTGGAGGATTGGAACTAATTTTTTTAACCATTTAACAACAGTTCTTTTAGTTGGAAATTAGAAAACCATTACAATAGAAGCTCATGCATTTTTAAAGATCTGTCCGAGTATAAAGTTGAATCACATAAGTATGAGCTGTGCTTATAGAAAAAAAAAATAGTTACAATGAGCCACAATAGAACAATCTTACCAACTTTTAGTCAGTCCTAGATGTTGTATGTCTGCATGTTCAGGAAACTTGGCCCAGGTTAGGTAAGAATTATGGCCTGCAGCATCAGTAAGGCCACAGTCACTTCTTATCTAGTGTAGTCCTATCACTAGCCACATCCTCAGCCCTACCCCTCATCTAGCTGTCCATGGCAGACATCACTAATGGTGACTCTTTCCTGTTGAGGCCTTGCAGGGCCTTGAATGTCACCTCCAATCAGCCAAAGCTGCCCCAGGAGCTGAAACCTCTTGTCGTTCTAGTCAGCAATTTTTCTAGCAACAAAGTC